CGGCTGCTCGGAGGGAGGAAACAAAGAGGCCGCGGGGGCAGGGTGGCGGCCGGCCCGGGTGGAAATACCTCGGAGCTGCACTGCAGCAGCTTCTGGTATTTCCTTCCACCCACCCCCACTGAGGCAATGATTAACAAGACCGTGGGCAAAGAAGCATCCTGTGGGTGTCTGAGGGCTGTGCTTGAGCCGCTCGAGAAGAAGCGGGGGAGGCGGAGGGGGGAGGACGGGGGGCGGGGCCAGCTGACCGACGCCTTGTTCTGGTTGGTTTGGGTTTTGTTTTAGTTGTGGTGTTTTGTTTTTGTTTTGTTTTTTTTTTCCCCCCCTTCTCTCTTCCTTCCGTCGGTTTCCTCCCTGGAGGCCGCCCGATGAGTTAAAATGGTGCTGAGGCTCGAGGGGAGCTGGTCGCTGCTGGTGGGCAAGAGGTTCCTCAGCCTGTCGGAGGAAGACGACAGGTCGTGGGACACCAGTCGCATCTCGGAATGGCCCTGGAAGTCAGGCAGGATCCGAGCAGTTTCACACACGGACATATCCAAACAAGACCTGAAGGTAACCAGGAACTTTGAAAGACACCTTTTAAAACGAGAGTGCTTGCCCTGTGACCTGGAAACTTTGTGTGCGTGCACGCGTGTGGGTGCGTATATACACGTGCATATATATATATGTACATGCTGTTGTTTGGGGGAGAGAGGTCTTCTTGGTCAACTTGCCTGTGTAACATGCTTGAAAACATGTGCACCTCTGGCTAAAGCCCCCAGTGTGCTTGTATGAATGCTGGAAATTACCTCAAACTAACTATAAATGTGCTTTGTTTCACCAGCATATTGAAAACTTCAGGTTTTTATTGCACCCGCTGTGCCTAGGTTTTATTTCTGCATGTTTCCTAAATGTAATTAAAGACCTTGTCAGTTGTAAACGATTTTTTTTTTCCCCCCAGAGATTGTAGTTACTTATGAAATGGCAACACTCCTATGTTGATGGGATCGGTCACTTTTCTTTGTTGCTATTTGAAGTAGCTGGTCATGAACAAGTACTTCTGCTGTCTTAAGACATACCAAATTCATGTATGATGTTGGAGGTTCCTTGGACTCTTCTTGCATGGTGGCCACTTCTTAATAATGATTACCAACAGGGATTTTTAAACACACACTCAATTATTGCAAGCTTAACTATGTGTTTTGGGTGGAAGTCAAGTGACTTTCACAGTTTGACTGTGAAGCTCTTAAGGGGCTATTTGGCAACTGTAGTCAGTAAAACTATTCAACCGTGTCTGGGCAGTTACTACAGCATACAAAGTACTCTCTAAGGACAAAACTCCATTATAGTAATGGCATCTTGTTACATGGTCTTCTTACTCGTTTCTACAAGGGACTTTGGTGGCAGGCTGTTCTATGACAGCAAGAACAGGACCATCTTTCAATTAAAATGTTTCCTTGCCTTTGTTTTTTAACGGAAAGAACTTTGTGATCTCAGATTAGCTGAAGAAACACCTTCTCTTTGACAAATGACAGGAAATTGTACGTGTTTCTAACACTTTTTTTTTTGAAAAGTGTAAACTTTGTTACGAAGAGTCCCGAGTTAGAGGCCGAGCTGCTTGTTGTGGATCTGCGGCAGGGGTGGAGCTTTCTCTATCTTTGGCCAGCGGGGGCTGTGCCCATGCGGTAGGAGTGAGGAGGATGTTGCTGTTGCAGAAAGCTCTTCCTAAGGACCTTCTCTGGGACTTCAAAGAAGAAGGAGCAGGTGCTGCTGGGGACTTTACTGTGAGCCTTGTAACTGGTTACGGTTCTGCCAGAAGCGATTGACTTAATGCGTTCTCCAGTGAAAGTGTTAAAGAAGTTGCAAAGTAGACAATTGAGGTGTGGAGAGCTTTTGTACTAAAATGCATGCCATCTCCTTTCCTCTCTCGCAACTCTGTGGAAGAGTAATGTATAGTTAGACCCAAAATAGTAATGTACTGGGGGGGGGGGAAGTCTGAAGGAGAAGAAATATTTAGTCTGTTTGCATAGCATCAGGAGCAAGCTACAGAATAGAAGGACTGTTGACTAGTTTTGAAAGTATTTTCTCAACTGTGTTTTCCTGTTTGTGCAGTGTTGATACAATAGACAAAACAAGCCATTCTGGTTCTGGTACTTGTGTTATTTGCTTATCTCTTTCATTGTTTCTGTGAACTTCAAAATGACTAAATTCATTTCTGCACCCATTAGTTTTATGACTCCTGTCTGTGCTAATGCTGTTTTGTGTGCATGCTTTTACTTGCCTTTCCCCTTAGAGGGAAGCTAAACACAAGGAAATGTTTTTAAGATTCGCTCAACTGAGGTTTCTCTGCTGTTAGGGTGAAATAGCTAAATATATTTAGACTGGATCGTTATATTTTATGGAGAGAGGGAGCAATTTTTCTGAGAGTATTGTTCTCTACCAAGACTTCCCAATTCCTGTATTCAAGCAAAGTTGTGTTTGTGGTCTTTCCCAATCCTTCGTTGATGTCTCTGTGTTGCCTATGAAAGAAGGGTAACGCCATCCCAAAGAAATTGGCCAAGCCACCATGTTTTTGCCACGAAGTGACAACTGCTTTCCTTTTGAAAAGCTTGTGGAGATGCTTCAGAGATTCGTAAAGATAAATACCAGTCAAAAGCAGGCAGCAAATGACCTTCATGCTATATAATTTGATCACCTTTACTGATATACTGTCATTTGTGCTTCCAATAAATTAACTAAAGTTGTTCTTTGGGACTCTTATTCTTAAAATATTTCTGGAAAAACAGCTTGTTTATTCAAGTACTCTAGTTTAGAGTTTGTGGAAAATGCTTGTGCCACTGCTATATATGGTCCTTTAAAGTTTCAGAGGGTTTTTTGCTGTGTTTTTCCCTGACTGTGAGCACTAGTGGCAGAGTTAGCACATTTAACTGTCCTTAAGCAACAGAGGACTTTTTGAGTTGTAGAGTTAAATAGGAATATAAATGTTTTATGTGACAGTAATGATGACAAACCAGTTAACATTGACTGTCACTTATAAAATACTGGATCATCCTGAGATACTTTAGTGATTGCTTGACTGTATGACAGAAAGGCAATAATCATGTTTGCATTAAAAGTACTTTTAGTAATTTTTTTTCTTTTTGGAGAAAATTGGTGTTCATTTATCCTTTTTCACGTTCTGCGCATCTGAATTCTGTTGTTAGTCACTCCTTCACTTTGTTTCCTTTCTGTAGATTTGTGTAGAATTTGATGATGAGTCATGGGAAAAAAGAAGATGGCTAGAAGTCTACAGCCATAAAATGAAAGCATTCCTGGTGGAGCAAAAGCTGGTACTGGCTGAAAGAAAATCTCAAGCCGGTTCGATGTCTTCTGTCCAGTGGCCTGCAATGGCAAGTATACACCTGGCCTAACTGACTTTGGTTCTGCAGTTCCGTCTTCCAAGGACACGTTACAAGTGTGAATTTCTCAAGTACAGCTTCACCCATGTACTCTTACGGGTAATCTGAAGGGGGACTAAATCTCTTTGTACAGCTAGAGCTAGGCAGAGCGTGTAAGCAACTGAAGTTGGTACGATGTGCCCAGAGATACAGGAACGTATTCTTATGACTTCACTTCCCTCCCAAATGACTATTCTGTACAATGTTAATTCCTTCTCCCTCTAGTCTCGTGTTTCTTCCTTCTTTCACAAAATTGCGGTTAAGAGAAAAAGGGTAAATAAGTTTCTAAGGATAGCCTGTATTTCTATCAAAGTTCTTGTTTTACTCTGCCTCAAGTACTGTGAATTCTTCAGTGATTTTTGATCTGTGACAAAAATAATTTGAATGACTCTTACGTGATGGCTGCCTGGCACAGATGACTTGTGAGGTTTGGGTTTTGTGCATATAAAAACCTGACCTACACTGTACAAGCCAGAGAACTAAGCTTTCTGTAATTGCCATACATGACTGGCTAGGCAAATTAGCCAGTAGAGGTAAACAGGGAACATTTCTTAATGTATTCAGCCAGTATAGTTTTACTTGACTACTTTGGATGTTGCTACTCATAAAAGTAGTTGTGAAATAAATGAAGATGTAAACTTGCTGTATGTTAATTATGCTGAAGTTGTAGACCATGTTTTAATACTCTTAACTTTGCTAGGTATAAAGTATGCAATGTATTTCATATTGTTGTATTTTAGCTGAGTTTTTTTTCTTAAGCAAAGCTAATCTAAGCAGATATTTATTTATCCCAAATAGGATGGGAGAGGAAGTGGAAAGATAAAACCTTAATTTTATTTTCTGACATGTGTAGTAATGTCAGCAGTTCTACTGGTAGATTTTGCTGATAGAATGTTCTGAAAACCTGCTTATTTAGACTTAGCTGTTGTCCCTTTCCAAGTAACTGAACAGTTCTTTCTGGATACTTGTCTTCAGTTTACGCATAAGGTTTTCCTTGCAATGTGTTTGATGTCTCAGTTCATGCAGTATACATGTTCCAAAGCTCATTTAGCAGAGGAATGAGGTAGGATAAAGTAAAGCACAATACTGGAGCTTGCTTTTGCAAAAAAGGCTTTTTCTCCCTTTGCTACCACCCAAGGCAGGAAAGAAGGGGTCACAAAAGAGGTGTGTGGATTAATTTCTTTAAATCTTGATCACAGCTTATTGATTCAAGTATATGGGAGAGTATGTTTCTGACAAACAGAATAGCTTTGCAGAACTCTTGTACAGTCACTTCTGGAGAGCGTCTTGTTCCTCTTATGGTGATACTGCCCCTTTGACAATGCTTTCACTAACTGAAGTGAAAACAACAAAGGGGAAGAAAGTCTTTGCTTGATCAGGCCTTTGGAAACCCAAAATGACTTTCTTTTTTTCTTTTAAATGGGGCACAAATGTACCTTTCACAGGTAGGAGAGAGGAGTTACTCTTGCCATTTCTGATGTTCCATGCTCTTGGTGCCTACCCACTCAGAGCTGTTACTACAGGACTAGGCAAAATTTAATCTTGAACAGATTAGGAAGAGTTCAGAAGCTTTTAAAGGAAACTTTTGTTTCTCGTCCGTTCTTAAAGCCTTTGGTATTCCTGACCATGACTTCATCATTGTACTGCAGTGATATAACAACTATGAGGTTATCCAAGTCATTGTACATGCCTAAACAAAGCAGTATATTCTCAGTGTTGCACGAGTTTTGAGAACTTTAATGTAAGCCATGCAGCAGACCTTCATTGATTTGCTAGTTATTCCCCTGATCTACCACAAGGAAGGGTTTTCATTAACATATCCACAATTAGAACTCTTAGTTTTAGTAAATTCTTCATATTGAGATGAATGACTAATGATTGTTAATGACAGCCACCTGAACTGAAATCCAAACTCATTCTAATAAATGAAATTCATTTCAAGTATAGTTCAGTAACTCCTTTATTTGGCATGTATTAGAAGTTTTATTAGAAACTTGCTTTGTTTTAAGAGTTGCGTGTAGTTGTGGCATCTTCACAGAAAAATAGATGCAAAACTAAATTTTTTAAATGCAAATGAGGAATGATGATATCTTCTTACTCTGTTTCTAAGAAAATGTTTATCACTTTTTCTAGACTTATAAATCCTTAGTGGACAAAGCTGGTTTGGGATCAATGGTTTCAGTACGCTATCTCGGTGAAGAGAGATGTGTTTTTCTTTCTAAAGACCTTTTGACACCCATTCAGGTAACTTTGTATGGCATTAGAAAGATGGAAGATAGATCTTGTGTCCTGGTATTTAAGATAGGCCAAGCTAATATATTCTAAATGCAAACTTTAGATGGATAAAAACTTGGACTAGATGTTTATTGTTATAACTCATAAATATCAGTTCTGAATGTAATGTGTCTGTTGATTAAAAACCTGAAGCTGATCCAGGATATGCTCACTTAAGAGAGATGGATGAGGGAGTGTGCTAGAACAGTTATTCATCTCAGGTGACAGCAATTGCGTCATGTTGATGGGGGGGACAATCTGGAACAGTTTCCCTTTGTTCTTGTGAACATGGCTGTCATTACTATGAAAGAAGTTGCAGGGATGTCTGGAATAAATCTTGCTATTTAGTAGAAACAGATCACTTCTAAACCTAAACAAATGTGGATCTGGGCAGGATGTAAATGAGATGGTTGAATTGCAGTCCCTTTGAGCACCAAGAGGAAAGTTCATCAGTGAAAATTACATAGAGACAGGTTGAACCAATTGCCCTGGGTGACCGAATGGCCAGGCATTTTGAGGAATAGTATCTGCTACTGATAAAGGATTTAACCTTTTTGGAAAACTACTTTCAAGGCCTATAAATGGTCTGAAGAAAACTTGTAACAGATGTCACATGCTGAGACTGCTAATAGTGCCATCACTAATGTTCTACTTTAACTTGTTAACAGTCAGCAAATAGACAACTCATTTTGAAAAACTGTTAAAATCACTTAAAGCTAAATTTGAGTTGAATGTTGTTGTCTTGCCTGTGTTGGCTCAACAACAGAGTAAAGTTTTCTTTATGTAGAAGCCTTATCTCTGTAATAGAGAAGGTTGCTTTTCTGGCATCTTGAATAACAGTTTCTTGACTACTAGCTCTTGACCCTGCTGCTGCTTATAAATACCCGAGCAGTGCTTGGGACAGGAAAAAAACCAAAACCTTTTTTAATAGCACTCTGAGCTATTGTTAAAAACTTGCTCTAAACTTTAATTTTCAGAATAAATTCTAAATGTTACCAAGCAGCATGTCTTGGATAACAGGGTAAAGGAAAAAAACCCTAAAATATAAATACATGATGATAAATAATTATGAATTAATTAGATGTAGCTGACTCTTCATATGAACGTGTTATATTGGTGTCTTGAGATGGACTGGATCCTGGCATTATTATCATAAATGGCAACATAAAATATTTGCATTTATATCTGATCAGGACTACTTATAAATTGCTGCTTCTGAGAACTTAAAATCCTAAATCAAAAAATGGATGGTTCAGTTACACTTAGTGCTCATTAGCAATGTAGTAAAACAAAGACAGGATGTTTTCAGAACAATATTAAGGTGGACTTGGAGAGAATAGATTATTTCAGTTGGAAGGGACCTACAGTGGTCATCTTGTCCAGAAAGCTCACTTCAGCCTGGCTTGCTGATAGTCATTCCACATTAGTGGAAAAGGAAACTAGTGGTAAGGAAATTATGTCTGCCTCAATAAATACAATATCCTAGGAGATGAAGGAACACAGAGTAATGAGAAACTTGTTGGACTTGTATGAATTGCTGCTATCCTGTTTGTAAATATTATGTCTCTTAGTTTATCAAAAGCATTATGTTTAATACCAATTTACTTGGGGTTTTTTGTTCTATATAGGATGTGGACAGTTCCAGGCTTCCTCTGAAAGATGATCAAAATGTTAATGAAGAAATTCAGGCTTTGGTTAAGAAACACCTAGATGAAACACGTTTGGTACAAGGTACAAGCATATTCTGTAGCAGAAAGCTCTGGCAATAAGTAGTCAAGTCAAAAAGGAAATCTTTGCAGTGGTGGTGTAAATTACAATAATCTGTTTTAGGGACAAAAGCTTTTTTAAAATACGGATTCCACTTTCTTTCGCAGCAGTGAATGCGAAAGGTGAAGGATTATAGAGATTTAAGTTCCAACTATTTCCTTTGTAAGATTGAGTACGTGATTTAGGTGCATATAGATGGCCTGGCACTTGTAAAAGTGTTATCAAATTTGGAGCTATTCTCACTGAAACTATTGGGAGCTGCTTATTGTTTCTATTAGCTTGGGGGGTTTTTTTGAGTCTGCTGTTTGTTTATAAAAACTACCAGAGTTTTATTTAGAGACTACTTTTTGAGTCAAGTTAAAATTGTTATTTTTATATTTGCCAGCTTTTAATTCTTAATTATTGGGTTCATACAAGCATATTTGTAGTCATATGTTTGTGTATGCAAGAAATGCCTTGCTTTTATGGACAGGTAAATATTGTAACTTAGAGCTGTCATTTCCAATATTGTAAAGAGAGGAAAATTTCACATCTAATCATTGAATCTCCTTTTCTGTGTCCACTGATCTGCCTCTGTCTGAAATCTGGAGGTCACTCTGGCCTCTGTTGTATGTCTTAACCTCCAGAAAACTTAATTGAACTATTCCAGGAAGGAGGCATCTGGCACATAGTTTTGTCATGCTTTTTCCCTCCCTCAGCTATGCAGAAGTTGTCTCAACGTTCTCAGTTTGTTTTGCTTACTTGCATCTCAGTACTGTTGGCAAATTCATGTTAGTAACTGGGATGATCTTCGTGCTCTCTTTCCCTGTATTTTTTTTTTCAATTTTTAAGGTGGAAAAAATATAATTGGCTCAAAAATTAGAATTTATAGCCTGGATCCATCTACTCAGTGGTTCACAGCAGTTGTTGTCAATGGTAATCCAGCTACAAGAACTCTAGAAGTCAACTGTCAGGAGGTAAGAACCAGTTGTTGTGGGTTTGCAAAGGGAGATGGGAAGTGGGTGAGAACTTGTGTTGATGGAGATATAAATACATTTTTAGTTCTGTCCTTACTGAAATAAGCTTAAAAAAAATGGGGATCGGTGTAGTGCGGAGTAATGCATTGCCCCAAGGTATTTCTGTATGATGATGGTAGAATTATCAAATAACTGGTCTTCTATGCGAAATGGGGGAGACCTGGAATTTTTATTTGAAGAGTGAGGCAAACATATGATCCTTGTTTCTTTGCCTTCTATGCTGTGTAGATAGTGCTCTGAAGCACCAGTTTATATATGTGTTTTCATGCAGAGACACTGTCACAACAATATATTGTTAAATTCAGCTTGGTATTCAAAGAACCTAGAAGGTCTAAGCTTAGTCTATACCACAGCATCTAACAAAAATACATTCAAACAGTAACTTTCATGTCTCTAAATGGCTGCTTCTGTGTTTGTTCCTTTCCAAGATTCCAGCTTTAAAAACTCTTGATCCAGAGTTAATTCATGTTGAAATCATATATGACAACAATGGAAAGTGTGGTAAGACCTATTATGGTTTGTCCTTCAAACACTAAGTAGCATATTTATGATAAATAGATTAATCTTGATCACCTTCTCTTCCAGATAAATCTAAAAGAATTGGGGGCATAAAAAGGAAGTCGTCGGAGAGTAGTGGGAGTGTTGATGCTAAACACACAAAATCTTCTCCTGAGGTAATGCCTTATTATGTTATATATGACTGTTACACAATGGTTATGTCATTTCTCAGAACAGTCTTAAATAAGGGTTAGATAGGAAAGTGGAATAATAAACATAATCCATGGGAGGGTGTGTTGAGTTCTTTGAAACTTGTCTAGGCATGGGTAAAACATCTTGCCTTGTGATAATCAGCAAAAAAGCTGCTGAGCCTTGAAGGTGGTTGGTTTTTTTTGAACTGTGGTTTTTGCCCCCTCCTTCTGCTTAGGACTTAGCCTGCCTGGTCATGTATTCTGTAGTGGGAGAAAACACAAAGCAGTTCTCAAGTTTATAACCTTTGCTTTTCATGTTCCTTCTTTAACTATTTTGTACTTAAACCCAAAATGTTCAGCTACTCTTGCACACTTTGAGGGTTCAAGCTGCAGAAGCAGCAGTCTGGAAGAATGTTGTTTCAGTACAAAACTTGTTCTAGTACTTCTGTGTCTGCATTTATTTCTTTTGTGAGTGACCTGCCAAGTATCACTGAGATCTAAGAAAACTGTCTCAGAGGTCAAAAGACAAACTGGGTAGCTTAAGTATAGAAGCACAAATGAAAAATAATGGCTTGGCTAAAGGATAGTACTTAAAACTTGCCCTATAATTTTGCCCCAGTGTTTCAGACCAAAAATTGCATTTTAGGCAGGAGTAGCCTTCTGGAAGCTCTAGAGTGGTGTGAGGTGTGGGAGGGTTGGGTTCTGTTTTGGGTTTTTTTGGCTTTGTGTTCTTGGCTTCTGTGCAGTCAGTCCTGTGCTGAGTCAACTGTGTAGATCTGGCTAATGACTGGATATCATCAGAAATCTTTAACAGCTTCACAAAGATACAGCATGAGGTAGCAAGTACAGGAGAAGATTCCTCACTGAAAAGAGTGCTCTGTCTTGTATTTACTGCTGACGAAGAGCGTACAGCAAATCAGCATGCAGCAGCCAGTGCATTACAGTTATACTTATGTTGTGTCTATAGCTCATGCTTCAGTACCTTTAGCATCTTTCAGGGGCTCAGTTTGCCAAACTTTGGCTTTCTGTGTATTTAGCCATTGTGCAGCCTGCTTAACACATGCAAAGCTGATCTTTATTTCGTATTCCAAATGTACTGCAGAAGAGTTATTGTGATCTGAATTCATAGCTTGTTTCACCATGCTTTTTCCTTACAGTAGTGAAGTTACTTTGAATTTTATAGTCTGCCTTCCTTCAAGGGACTGGATCCTTTATCACTTTTGTACTCTTTGGGAAATGCCTCCCAACTATTTTCTCAAAGTGGTTACAAGTGAGTGTACTTTCTCATACAGAAAACAGCAGTTCAGTTTCTTTCTCCGATTTTGGTGGATGTGAATATATGGGAGTGATAAGCTGAAGCCAGATTTTTGTTTTACTTGGAATGTGGTAGTACTCTGATTTCTGATATGAAGTTAATTAATTCCAGTGTTTTTTTGAGAGCTTGTCTCAATGCCTGACAGCTGTGTTATACCAGAGCGGAAAGGAAATATTTTTGGAGTTGATGGTAACAAGTCTATAGTGTAACTTCCAGCAGTGAGCTGAGCATGTGGGAGTGGAATATGGATGTTCGAGCTGAGGAAGGAGCCCCACAGAAAACTACTGTTTTTCAAGACACTTGCTAGTTTCCTAGGCATGTTGTATGCCTAAAAGAATTGTGGATTTGTAAGGCTGGTGATTCGGTTGGCACAGGATTTCTTTGCTTAACGCTTTCTAGAATCCTGGTACAAAGACTTTCTCACTACAGGGAAGTTCATGTCTAGATTTTTGGTAGTGTTGTCAGACTAACTTCACAGTTCTAATTTTCTCCAAGATTTTCAGATGAGCTCTGAAAGCTATTTCTGAATTCTGATTACTGCAGTTATTTCAGAAAGATCATTGTGCTGGCAATTATAATGATCAGAGGTTTCTATCTTCCTTTCCACCTTCTTAATACACCTTCCTTTCCCCCCAAAAGTTTGTTGTTAACTGGGGGAAAAGGAATTAACATAAACAGTGTTTCATGGAACCTGTAAGGTTTAAAATGACACTCTAAGGTCTTTCCATCTTACAGACTGGGTGAGGAATGATCTTCAATGAGCTCCATTAAACACAGTGGGAAGGGCATTAATGTATTTCCCTTTTTAAGCTGAACCTTGCAAAGAAGTATTTCTGTTATTCTGAATTTTTGCTAACTGTTAAAATCTGCCTTACAGGTTTCTCCCAGTCAGGGACATGTGCAGTCAGTACCAACAGTGTTGGGTGAAGCATTGCTAGGATGTACTCCTGCTAATAAAGACCAAAGGCATCAAGGCCTGCCCCTGCCAGCTAACTCACCACCCAATCTTGGTGCAGAAACTCCTCAGGGGTAAGGAATCCGTTTGTTTATGCAGACTCTTGCTCCAAAAATAACTCCAGTTCTTAGAAAAACAAGGGGGTCATTTTAGAGAACTGTAGTAACTAGTCTTCTGTAGTGTTGGCATAGAAAAGTGTTAGACTTCATTGTCCTGGATACATAATATGCTTGCTTATGCCACATTTTTCTTTTTTTATAGAATCATAGAATGGTTTGGGTTGGAAGGGACCTTTAATTAAAGGCCACCCAGTCCAACCCCCCCTGCAGTGAGCAGGGACATCTTCAACCAGATCAGGTTGCTCAGAGCCCTGTCCAACCTGACCTTGAATGTTTCCAGGGAAGCGGCATCTACCACCTCTCTGGGCAACCTGTGCCAGCATTTCACTACCATCACTGTAAAAAATTTCTTCCTTATATCTAGTCTGAATTTACCCTCTTTTATTTTAAAAGCATTGCCCCTTGTCCTATCGCAACAGGCCCTGTTAAAAAGTCTGTCCTCATCTTTCTTATAAGCCCCTTTTAAATACTGAAAGGCTGCAATCAGGTCTCCCCGCAGCCTTCTCTTCTTCAGGCTGAACCACCCTAGCTCTTGGGCTTTCCTCACAGGAGAGGTGTTCCAGCCCTTTGACATTTTTGTGGCCTCCTCTGGACCTGCTCCAACAGGTCCACATCTTTCCTGTGCTGAGGACCCCAGAGCTGGATGCAGCACTGCAGGGGGTGTCTCACCAGAGAGGAGCAGAGGGGCAGAATCCCCTCCTTCAACCTGCTGGCCATGCTCCTCTTGGTGCAGCCCAGGGTATGGTTGGCTTTGTGGGCTGTGAGCACACATTGCTGACATTATGGTTGAGGTAGTTGCCCTTCAGTGTCACAAGCCAATGTTACTGCTTCATTGTACCCATCTGTAAACTGATCGGTTATACATAGGTGCGGTGCCTACTTTTTCACAGAATCACAGAATAGCAGGGGTCAGAAGAGACATCCAGAGATTATCCAGTCCAACCCCCCTGCTAAAGCAAGTTCACCTAGAGCAGGTTGCACAGGACCTCTTCCAGGCGGGTTTTGAATATTTCCAAAGAAGGAGACTCTGCAATCCCCCTAGGCAGCCTGCTCCAGTGCTCTGTCACCCTCAAAGTAAAGAAGTTCTTCTGAAATTCTTTTGTCAAACTCATTCCTCCCCTGTCCCCTAGAAAAATAGAACACATTAGGCAGGACACATTCAGGCTGGTGTCCCATATACTTCTTGCAGATCAAGTTCAGGTCCTCAGTTATATTTCTTGTTGAACAGAAGTGGCTTTAAACTTCTTTGTTACCTGTAGGAGGCTGGAAAATGTCCAATTGGGTGTAAAACCTTCCAGTACAAAATTGCCCACTCCAAGCTTTCCATGAACAAATTTAAGCTGAATACTGCATTTCCATTATAAATCTAGCTCTAGAAGTCATGTTGTCAACACCTTTTTCAGTCAGATAAATGTCTCCAAAATACAAACTTCTACATCAGCTGTGACTGGAGGACAGGCAGGCAGGGGCCTGAGATGAAGGCTATGTTTTATTCAATTATCTGACCATAGCAAGTATGGGAACTGCATTGCGCCATGCAACTGTGCTCTTGAGTGTAATCACTACTCCTTCCTAACTTGCATTATTTGAAGGTTAGCATATTGTGCTTGTGTCCCTAATTCTGTTACAAAAATGAACATATAAGGTAGAAATAGTGACAGGAAAACTCAAGTTTTGTGGTTTAGCTTTAAAATAAGTGGTATAGTTTTTTTCCACTTAGTTTTGTGTATATATCTCATACGACAAATGTGGAAAAGATGATTTTTTAATTTGAGCTTTTTGTGTGGGAGCAATTTTACTGCCTCCAATATAGACTTGTAGTGCCAGCCCGAAGTTTCCTGAGTATTAGAATCTTCTCACAGACATGCAAGTGAAATGCATTTGGTCATACAGCTGTTGCATGGAAAAAAATGAGAAAGTAACTGTTTAATTGTGAGAGAGGGTAGTGGAGTAGCTGCAGTGCCTAAATTTGTATGTGCCTACATCTGTGTACACTCTTATCATTCTGACCAACTCTTAAAAAAAAAAAACAAAACCAAAAAACCAAAACCAAAAACCCCACAAAAACCATCCCACCCCCCAAAAAATCTAAACAACCCCCCCTCCCCCCCCCAAAACCACAAACCTGTTTAACCTCACACAAAATATAAAATCTTGGAACATCAGAATTCAAAGTACATGGTTAAATTTCTCTTTCAAGCTTTAAATGTGACTAGGTTGAGCAGCTGATGCCCTGATTAGTTTGACGTCTTTATCTAATTATTGCATGCATGTTGTGTGTGTTTCAGCACATGTAGACGAAGCTTACCGGAAACTCATCCTTCTTGTCTTAGTACTGGAATTAAACCATTGAAGGAAGATCTGACGGCCTTTCCTAAAGTGGGGTTTATATCTAAAGAACAAACACAAAATCTTAATGATCAAAATGGTAAATATACCTCTTTGACAACCTCAAGATCTTCATCTTTGACTGATTCAGCTAATGAAAAAGGAACCAACCTGAAAAATACAAATGAACCTCTTATGAAGCCCACAACAAACTTTGCAAAAGAGTGCATTTCTGTAAAACAGTTGCAACATCTTAACTCTTCCACAGCAATACCCAGAGTCAGTAGCACTGTTGAACTGCAGCGGACTTTAGATTGTAGACCCTCAACCTCAGATGCTCATCTTCTCTCTTTTGCTGAGTCTGGAGTTAAATCACAAAACAATTGCAATAGCCAGAACAGCCACAAAGGAAACAAGACTGATGAACTTACAGACATGGAATTTTTTATTAGGAAAAATTCAAATGAGATTCTTTATGACAGAAATGAAAATGAAAGCTTTTGGACTGGAAGTGTCAAGATCCAGGATAATAGTAAGTATTTTTAAAACTTCCTGTCATTTGAAAGTCCTTGTAGTTTCTGTGTAACTACATACAAGCAGGTCCTTTGTAACATATGCAGAATTAGTACTTTAAATTATGTGATTGAATCTGGAATCTGAGACATTTGTGGCTTCTTTTACAAGGGGGGAATGCAGTAAACTTGAGAGAAATGTCCTTTCCTGATAAAGGAAAAGGACTAAACATTAATTTCTAGAAATAAGTTGTTACAAAATTGATGCAAGAACAGAATGGCAAAATGGGTTACAAAAACAAGGTTCTGTTTGGAATACAAATGCTGATGGCATAATGAGACGGGGTTTTGTTTTGTTTTTTTAGTAATGGTCCTAAATTTTGTAAGCATGGTGAGAGATGGAAGTTGTTCTCGACAAAGCTTTGTTCAAGAGGGGCTTTCATTTAATAACTGTTCTGAAAACAAAACAAATAAAAAACCAAACCCAACCAACCACAAAAAGATCCCCCTCAAAAACCACCCAACCCTACAACAACCCACATTGTTTCTATGTTTTCTGTGGCCCAGTTCCACTTGGTGAGCTCTTCGTGTTTTCCACATGGGACAGAATGGGAAAAGCTGTAGTTGCTTAAGGAGCTGGACTCCTGCTGTTGTGTGTTGTGCTGCGCATCAGGCAGTATAGCTGATCATTCAGTGTTCTGGGAATCTAACTACACACCCACTTCTTTCCAATCTCCTGTTGCTTGGTCTTGGGTTACCATGTGCTATTCCATAATTAACAGCCAGGCAGTCACTGCTGTGCCCTGCTAGGCCTCACCCGTGATGTGGGAGGAAGAGGGATGCTTGGCATCTGTTATAGTAAGATTCTGGTGTACTTCTGTCTTCATTACTTGTGAAATGTGGTTGCTTCGTACCCTGGTCTACTCAGTGCTCAGGTTCTCCAGCCCTGATGGCTGAAAAACTTTGATTAAAAGCAGATGCTCTTCCAAAATATTTCTCTGTGGAGGAGTGAAAGGAGCTGTTAAACCTGGGTCCATCGACTACAACTCTAGTGGATCTGTAGTTTGAGAAAGTTTCTACTGACCTGAGAAGAGGCTTCTGCCAACTAAAAGTATTTTAGCATAACTTTGTTTCAATGTAGTGTGAAACTTATAGGAAAAGTTGACATGGATCTTTCACTAAAATACATTTGCTTGCACCTTTATATGAGAAACTGAAGCTTGTCTAACGTACACTACTCTTCCCTGCAGTAATCGTTCGCAAGTCAATTTTAGCAGATGCTTCTAAAGTGAAGAAGCTGCAGCAAAGTGGAGAAGCATTTGTACAGGATGGTTCCTGCAATAACATAGCACCTCACTTGCATAAATGCAGGGAATGCCGTTTGGACAGTTACCGGAAGAACAAAGAGCAAAGAGACTCCACTGTCTTTTGTAGATTCTTTCACTTTAGAAGGTAAGAACAATTTTGGCTATATAGACCTTGATATTCTTTGTGTCCCATGTTGGAGTTGGACATATGACCTTTTTTCCTTTTCTGAAAGGGGGCTGTTGAGTGCTTGCTGTTAGCTATAGCATGGATCTTCGTCTTCCAGGGCAGATGAAAAAACAGTTATTTGGTCAAAGTGGTCTCATTTTAGGTCTCTGATTCAAAACTGTTAGTTGCCAGTGTGTAGCTGTTAAGCTATGAGGCTAATATACCTAACTAATGAAAGGTTGCCTGTGTTTTTTTAGCCCTTAGAAATTTTTTTAACTGCTTCATTTGAGTAGAAAATATTTTGGCAGGACTTTGAGCTCTTTATTTTGCTATTCTGGGCTGAGTGCCAGTGGGATAATATGAGTTTAGTTTGAGTGCTACAGCTCAGTAGTATTGGAGATGGTAGCAAGAGGGTAGATTGTGTTCATGTCTCCCAAAGTAGAGCAATTGGGCCCATGAAGTGTTAGACATATATCCACAGCTGTGGAAGAGTTGCAGTAAGTGGCCAGGGGCTTTCAGCTGGAGTCATGGAATAGTGATGGGCAAAATAATAAGTTACATTGCGTTGCTCCATTTGTTGTTCCACTTTACGCTTAAGAGTTTGTGCTGCTGCTTTAAGCTTGCCATAGAAACATTTAATCAGTACCCTCACTGGGTTTCAGGAGGGCAGATAGGGAGGGTCAGCAAGACAACTTTAAGGAAAACCTGGTGACTGGGGAGTGGTGATTGCTTTTCCAAACCTGATCTGCAGCTTCAGATGCATTATACCCCACCCACAGCCCCCAGAGCCTGATTCTTGAGTTGAACAGCCAAGGTCTTCTGATGTTTTGTCTCTTTAGCTCTTAAGACACCATGAGGAACCCTTTCAAAGAGTGTTAAACTGTTACTTGAAGCCTATCTGTAAGCCCAGGGTAGATGTCAAATTGCAGTGTCTGGTTGTTTTTTAACATGTCCTTTCCTTGGTTTTCAAGTTGCATAATTTTTTTCCATGAACTATTTGATCTCATGTCCAGATGTTGTTGCATGCTTCTTATTTCCCCCCACACCTGTTTAAGCTTTGCGGCACACTGTGTTTTATGGGAAGAAGGTAATGCTTGTGATGTTAGAGAAGAAAAGCAAAAATATTAGCTATCACAAGGGAGATGGGAATTTACTTATTCTCAGTTTGCCTTTTGATTTTCAGAGGAATAACTTTCTTTTGAGTCTCTAGGTAGAATGAAAAGAAGCTATAAGCCTGAAGACCTTTTAAGAGAAAAAACTGAAAGCAGAAAGGTTACAAATTTCATGGAGGGAAAAAAAACCCCCACCAACTTTTCCACTCTCATCTTCTTCCACCACAACACCACACCACCCCCTTCGCACATTTTGTAGCTAAAGGTTTTAAAAAAAAAAAAAAAAAAAAAAGGCTATGTGTTACTACTGTTTAACCTCAGATTAGAGATTTTACTACGGTAAACCTTGGGACAATCTGACATTAATTGAAATGTTCAGAAACGTGTGAGGCCAGGGTGTAACAATGGACTATGCTAATTCATCTTCTCAGGGTAAAAATTCAGACTTGCAGTGCAGTTCAAAGCAGTTGAATCCTTCAGTTTAGAACCTGAAGCTAATGGAACTGTCTCTTTATTGAATGTGAAATCTGCAAAGTCTGAAGATGGTGTTTGCCTGGTGATATCAGTTGCCAGCATGTGTTTTCTTGCCACACTTAACACTGTAGTGAGCACATATTGTCATCAGAAGTCAACTTCCCTTTACAGCATTTTGAAAAAAGGCTCCTGAAAACATGAACAGAACTCTTTTATTTAGTAAACTACTAACAATAGAGATCTCATTCCTTCTACCTACTCGGAATTACTGAAGAATATCTTACTCAAATTTTGCTGGATTTTTTTGGCAGCTAGTTCTAAATAGTTGTTACTGAAATATATTGTATTTTTAAGGTGTTGTAATGTCTCTTGTGAGTTGTACATAGTTCTAGATTAAATTCTTACTGTTACGCGCCCATTACCTCCTCTAGATGTGATCCTTAATGCCAATGCATTTTAAAAATTATGTTAAACTGATTTGGTTTCCTGTGAATAAAAAAAAATCTTTAGGAAATCTGCCTTACTACAAAAAAGTGATGTTTGGAGTTTTTTTTTAAACAAGTGATGCATTAAGCATGCTTAATGCTAATGACAAGTATGTTTACCCATGTCCATTGCACCATTAAGTGTTAAACTCATTGACCTACAGTGAACATGTTTACAGTTCAGGCATTGACTCATTGGAATGAATGTAAACTAATAAAACAATTGAGATTATGGTTTTTTTTCTCCACAGGTTGCAGTTTAATAAGCATGGAATACTGCGTGAAGAAGGCTTCTTAACTCCAAATAAATATGACCCTGAGGCTATTAGCTTATGGCTACCTTTATCAAAAAATGTTGTGGGTCTAGATCTCGACACAGCGAAGTATATCCTAGCCAACATTGGAGATCACTTTTGTCAGCTAGTGATATCTGAAAAGGAAGTTATGTCTACGATTGAACCACATAGTAAGATCAGTTTGTATTAAAATAACCTGTATTTTAATAGCTTTATGTGAACCTTTAGGCTTCTGACCTGTGTGAAAATATATTGCATGCATTTGGAAATGTCATGTAAGACTTCAGTGTTTCCCTCTCTTCTCAGAGAGATGTAATGGTTAAGGTCCAGTGTGAACTAGTGTCAACAACTCTTTGCTCACAGGCAGGGGGAAGGGAAAAGTAATTCTACCCTTCTTTATGTCAGAAGACTCTTCTCAATTTATCGAATTACTTTTCCTGTTGCAGAGAGTGTAATTCTGTTATGAAACAAAGTGTAAAAAAAAAAAAAAAACCAACAAAACAAAAAAACCAAAACAAACTAACAAAAAAAAGCAGGCAGCTGACAACAACCTATTCTTAGCCTGTAAATGAAATAAAGCTTTCATTTTGACTGCACAGATTCCATTAGATTGCATTGGTCCTATTTTGTTGTTCTTGCATAATAGACCTAATGCTGCCTCTCAAGTCACTAAAGAAATCTTTTTTTTTTTTTTCCTTCCACCTGAAATCTTCCAGTAGGAGTGTTTGAAGTGATTGTATGTACAGCCTTACTGGGAATAGACCAGAGAGGTGCTGTTGATGGGGAAACTGCCTGTAGAGCTTCATCAGTGCAGACAGAGAGAGCAAACCTTGTGTCCTCGAACACAGAGAGGTTTTTGGCCACATCAGAACCTTTTTGTAGCATACATAAGCAGACAGATGGGGAGGGTTGTGGTCTTACATGATCACTTCTCAGAGTAGAATGACTCTTAAAACTCGGTTTGGTTTTTGGATTATAACTACATGACCAAGATGCAGTACAGTTTAGAAGACTGTCTATCCAATGTCTTCTGCATTTGGGTAGTAGTGATATTATATAAAGATTGTATCTGTTTACCAGTCACTCCAAGGTTTTGAATAGAAGAAAAAAACTGAACAGGCTTGAATGCCTTTCAGAAGGGGAGGGAAGACTTGAGATAATTCAGAAATGCTTGCTGTGGGGTCTTGCCCTGTACTACCTGTAATCTGCAAGCTCTGCTCTTCACCTGAACTGGAACATATTCAGGCCTGTGGAGCCAAAATATCAATAGCTAGAATGAACGGTACAGGCTGGAATCCTGTGAAATACTTTCGGAAGGATGAAAATTTGGATGGAATTCATGAAACAAAGGGGAGGTGTGGTGTTTCTTAACAGCAGAGGGTGCATCTGTTAGCACACCTACCAGAAACATCCTCTGCTTGAAAAAACACACATGGCTTGAAAGGAGTAAATGTCATGATTTCTTCTTTGTTTATTGCCCTGGCTGGTGAGAGTAAGGGAACTCAATTTCATTAAAATGGAGAATGTTTTTAATGCCCTGGGTAGGAAAGAAGTAATTTACAGTTCTAGATATTCATTATTTTTTGAACAGTTCAGTGAAAGAGTGCTCACTCAGTTGGCACAAGAAAAAGGGAGATTCTTCTGCCACTGTGATTTGAAGTTATGGTAAACTTTTCTTGGCAGAGTTCAGCTGAAATGATACCTTTTCATAAAAATTCTGTCTCTGAAAAACCGACCTTTTCCAAAATGTCAAAATATTTTGTTCAGATATTGCTTTTTAGGGGATCATTTATGTTTGAATATTTTGCAGTGCACAGTATGTCTCAGGGTCAGCCTTTCTCTCTTTTACCAGTGAGTTACCAGACTGGTAGGTAGAGCCACAAGACAAACAAGCATGAGGGAGAAAGTTATTTGGGAGAGCTTCCTTAAAGAGAGAGTTCCTTAAAGGATTAGTAGAAAAGCACAAGTGAAATTATCCTAGTGTGGTAAAAGATTGACCAGTGTAGAAAGAACAGCTTGTTAGGTCACATTGTTCCTTGGCCACGAAGTGCCAAAAGGAGACCTAGAGAAAGAGGAGACAGGATAAACTACAGAAAGGAAACAAAAGAATAGGAGAGGAAAAGGACAAAATTCAGTAAACTGAAATATGAAATGACATGCAAAAGACAACAAAAACCCTTTCATCCTGGTTTGGGGAAATTGGAGGATTGGCCTAGAAAAGGGTAAGTATAGTCCATGTTTTTAAAAGGCAGAGAAGAATGGAACTGATGATATTTAGACCTCTGTCTCCTGGAAGAAGTTTGAAACTAGTCAAACAATTTTTACCTCCTACTTAAGAACAAATTGTGCCAAGCTATTCTAGTTTTGTTCCGTACATAGTCAATGGGCATTATACAGAAGAAAAGCAACAGATGTCTTGGATCCTGGTGTGGTTATTTTGCATACATTAGGACATGGTCTCTCATAACTTGGTTTTAAAATTAAGAAACATTGTGGGCAGAAAAGTTTCAGAGAAGCTACAAGGGTGGAAGGACGTAGGAGGAGGCAGATGTGTGCTTTTTGTCTAGTCTAGTTTTCTAGCTGGGGACGTAATGCAATGAAGATTGGTCTAAAATAAACTGTACATAATGCAGCCCAGGAAGGGCTCGCAATTTTTTGGAAGATACTGTTGCTGTTTGGGATGTTTTTAGTGAACTAAAGTGACTTGGGGTGAGGATAGGTGGAATATAATGGGCACATAAGAAACATTAACAGTAGTGGTCAGTTCTTCAGAGAAGAACAACTGAGCAGGTGATCGTTCTGTGAAGGTCTGATACACACCTGTACATGTATAGGTCCACCTACTGAAAGGAAGATATCTACTTGCCCACTATGCTATTGAATAGAGGACAAGGACAAGCTGATTGTGGCAAGCTAGACATTAAGCTTATCTTGCTAGTAGTAACTTAATTTTTTCTAGGTTGGCTGTGGAATTTCCACTTAGGAGAATGTCAGCAATGCGCATGTTAACTTGGGCAAATATATGTTAGGAGTAAGAGATGTAGTTGGTGCTGCGCAGGAGAAAGCAAAATGGTCTTGATTGCTTAGACCCTGTTCTGGACCTGCTTTTCTGAATCTTTAACAGCAAAGGCTTTGTTTTGGAGTTCCAATACAAAACCAAGTCTGAGTCTTAAATCACTGAAGTATTTTAATGTAGCTATATTTGACATGCAAATTTTTTGTTGTTGTTTAAACTAACACTTTGACTAATCTGTCAATTACCACAGGGCAGGTAGCCTGGAAGCGTGCAGTTCGTGGAGTTAGAGAAATGTGTGATGTCTGTGACACCACGATCTTCAACCTTCATTGGGTCTGCTCTAAGTGTGGCTTCGGCGTGTGTGTGGATTGCTACCGGATGAGGAAGAAAAGCTTACATGAAGGTGAGAATGTATATTGCTACTTTAAACAAAGTGGGGGAGAGGGGAATGAAAACCTGTATTTTGAACTTGGAAGTCAATAACAACAAGACAGTAAGCCTTCCCCAAAAAAATAATGCATTGTAGACCCGTGGTTTGGTATATCAATAATAGTAAAATGTGTAGCTTTCCAGAGAAAGATGAAAGATGCACTAATAAAAGAATTTAATGGTTTTGTTTTACAGATGATGATTCAGATACTTTCTCCTGGTTTAAATGTGTGAAGGGGCAGGTACATGAACCAGAGAATCTAATGCCTACACAGATAATCCCCGGAAAAGGTATTTTAAATATTTGTTTGGAATGAAAAAATTCTGTAGGCTTTTGCTGCCTTTTGTATGGTGTTGATATTGTACTGAGTGAGGGCTTGTTTTTTTCAGTAAGGAAGTTAGTAACAGCTATGTATTTATTTTTTGTCCAAAAATTGAACAGCCTGTGTACTTAGTACTATTTTATTATCTTTGACCCTTACAAAGAAGTAGCAAAACTTTTTGTTTAACGATGAACTGTGTTTGTGTACTATTGTTTACCTGCATAGCATACACAATTTCTTAAAAAGTCTTGTTGCATGCTGGATGTTCTAATTTACATGTGAGCTCACTAATGACTCTTTTCCTTTAGCTCTCTATGATGTTGGTGATATTGTTCACTCCGTAAGAACAAAATGGGGAATAAAGGCAAATTGTCCTTGTGCAAATAAGCAGTTCAAGGCACTATCAAAGCCAACTCTAAAGGAGGATTCAAAACAGGTATTGCTATTGTCTCACACCATGTCTGTGTAGTACAGATTTGCCTCAGTCTACTACCCACATCTGAAGCCAGTGGCAATTGACTCTGTAGGTATGCCAATCCTGACCGCTACTGATAAACCCATCATGTAGGTTTTTGTTTAAAATTTGTATTCAGTATTCATCTTTCTGTTTCAGTTCTTTTTTAAGTTTTGGGGAAAATCTTGTGTCTTTTTGACACAGTGATGCCTCGGTGAGTGACCTATCCTTAAAAAATGCTCAGTGAGGACTTTTTAGAGCAAAAATAAGATTAGATTGTGAGAACCCTTAAGAGGAGAGACTTAAAAACAGTCTAGTGGGAATGGTAGCAAAGTGTAGGCTATTCCTTGGGTCCAGGAGATGTAATACATGCAGCAAGTAGAAGAATAAGTAGGAATTCATAAAAGAACTAAACACGAATAAAATTGTGAGGTCTAGAGCAATATGGAGAAGCATTGATTTCTATGTGAATCCTGGTAAAAAGCTTGCTGCTCAGTATATTAACAAACAAAACCCCACCATACGTTTATTTGTAAATGGATGTAGAATTTTTTTTGCTTTTGAGAATAGAGCACAAATTAATGGCTTAGCCTTGCAGCATCTTGAAGAAACCAGCTGAATTAAGTAATTTTAATGCTTATTCATAAACATATTTTGAGAATAAGCATGTTACCTTAAGTGTAAGAAGCAGGCTGAACTTGATTTTGGTGTTGGTAATCAATAGAAGAGAGAAATTATTGTGAAGTGTTAGAAGCAAAGAAGATGGTTACGTGTTTCAAAAGTTAGCCTACGACTGACCTAGCTTCAGTCTTCTGTTTCTCGATTTCCCCTGTGATGCTGGACAAACAGCTGTGTGGGAATGTATCTATATCTCTCTCTGTAAAATTAGGTGCTGCACTGGTTGTGTGAGGATAGGCTTATTAAAGTTTGAAGCATTTTATATTATGTCATGTTTGGAGTCCGTACCAAGCATCAGCAGTCATTAAGAGATGAAATAAAGTACGTAGCCTTAGACAGACACAGGTGCAGAATAATTTCTTGACTGGAAAGTATATGAGCAGAGAGAAGAAATTTAGCCAGTCATGCAGGAATCCCAGACCAAAGCAGTAGTTCTGGTTAGTCTGTTACCTAGAATCTCCAAACGAGTAGATAAATTGACCTCACAGGAGATGTACAGTAGTCCTGTGCTTGGACTGGGCTGGCCAGGTGGGTGCTGCACTCATATGCAGGTGTATTTTAGACCTGGACGATGAGTGGACTTTTGCCGCTGCCTTAAGATAAAAATTTTGGTGTGCTACCTACTTGTTTTAGTCTACTGAACTAGACCTCCAGCTTACCCCTGGTCTGAACATCAGCTATCACTAGAATTACGAGAGTGCTGCTATCAAAACTGCATTTGGTTCCCAAAGCAGTCCCAGAAAACGCATCTGGGAAAGTCTGCTTTCTGTGCTCGTCTTGAGGGGTGGTGGACTCTGTTGCCTACTCTTAAAGTTGGGAGATCTCAAGTCCTGCTGGGTTGGCATCTCTGGCTGATACCGAGATGCAATGCTGACCTCTCGTGGAGATCGGCTCTTTGTTTGAAGAGCCAAACCATTTCTTTCGCAAAATAATTATTTTGGACATGTTATTGCTTGCTTCCCCTTTCTGAGTCGAGTATGTTTCTGTCTAATCAAGTTCTCATTTTATTTTTTCAGAACTTAGTACCTGGAGAGAGGCCCAGCCTTCAACATAACAGTTTTGCCCTGAGCCCACAAATCACTACACATGATCCTCCTCTAAAGTCAGCAATTGGAAGTAAACAAACTGCTTCAGTAAATATTTCTCCTTCATTAAGTTGGTTATCAAATCTAACAAGTGGAAACGTGAATAAAGAAAACAAAGGTATGTGCAGAACAAGTGAAGAGTAAACCCTTTGTGGCTGTTTGTCAGAAGAACGTGGATCAGACCCAGCAATACCTTGTGTTGAGAATGATATGATCTGCCTGCTGGGATGGGCGTTCAGCGCTTGCACTGCAAAACTGGTCCATGGCAATGACCTGGAATAAAACCTGGCAGGGTTAGCACATTGTTTTTTGAAAACTGGATTAACATCCCATGGATTCAAGTATTCTTGAAAATTCAATTTGAGAATGTATTTATTTTAGAATGCATGATTTTAAAAACCTTGGAATATTGAAGAAAGTTAAGTGAAAGGAATTTAATCTCTATGTATTGAGAGGAGAGAGATGTGTGCATATTTACATGTATGCGTATAGGAGTACCTAGTCTTAAAAAAAAAAAAAATCCAAAGCATATACTTCTCGTGGTTCAGAGGTTTAATCCTTGCTTCATTCTTGGATGTGTTCTTTTCTTCATTTCAGAGAAACTCCTCATACCTATTTCAAAGAATGAAAATAAGCCTCTTCAGACACTCCCTAGTTTAGCTAAGCCTGCTGCAGCCCTGCAGACCTTCAACAGTGCAATATTAACACCCGTGAGCAACAATAACACAGGCTTCTTGCGGAACCTGCTGAATTCTTCTGGAGGAAAGGTATATGAAAAACTTTGGTTTACAGGTTTGAGTTGATACCAGGCTTAGACTGCTGTTCTAAACCTGTGAACAACTACCACAGACACTTGTTACATTAGGTAAAATTCTATTTTCATTTGGGGAAAAGGGCTTAATTCAGTGTCTGTGTTGCAGTGCTCCAGTCAGTGCTTTTTAGAGTAGCAGCTTAGTGCTACTATCAGCAAGATTTGCTTGGTGAGGGATTGGGAACCAAGTGATAAAGCAGATGAATCTACGTAGGCTAGCGTCTGGCAGGTTCATTATTTGGCATGTCCGTTAGACTGAAGAAAGAAGCATCAAGGAACCTACAGATGGAGGGGAAAAACATTCTGTGGTGGGTGACTGTCTTTCTCATACCTTGTTTGCGGACTTGTTCACTTCAGATGTTCCTGGGCTTTGTTTGCTCTTACAGATACGACTTCAAAATGGTGGGGTAAAATATTGGTGTTGAGAATTCCTTGATGAAACTGCATTTCTGTTCTTTGATAGAAAGAAAGTCTTGTTTTGTGCTGCATTTCATGGTGTTCTGCAGAATTGCTGAAATGTAAATCAGAGCTGAACTTAGGCCAGAGTGCTGTAGACAAAGTGTCAGAAATGGCATTGACATTTAATGATGGTGAGTTTCTAGACAGCAATGTTCGGCAGATTTTTGTTTCTCTGCACGATTGTGAGCTGAAGGGAAACATTTTGACAGTGGCAAATATCTTCTTTAAAGTCTGCAGGACAAGGCAACAGAAAAGTACACCAACTTCTTTTTTTGTTTTTCTTTCTTTTTTTTTTTTTTTTGTTTAAAATCAGACAGACAATGGACTCAAGAGTACACCCAAAATCCTTGATGACATTTTTGCTTCCCTGGTGCAAAATAGAACCATTACAGACTTGCCTAAGAAACCTCAAGGATTGACTATAAAGCCTACAATAATGGGCTTTGATACTCCTCACTACTGGTTATGTGATAACCGCTTGCTATGTCTTCAAGATCCAAACAATGAAAGTAATTGGAATGTCTTCAGGGAGTGCTGGAAGCAGGGACAGGTATTTAAGTTTTTGTGCTTTTTCAATTTTCAGTTCATGCACTTTTTCCTTTAATTGAAGTGCAGGTACAGACTTATTGCAATGATAAGCAACACTAAACCTTCATAAAATGTACTACACGAACACTGTTAGATCCTTGGATAAAAGGATGTATAGCTTACTAATTGAAATCAGATTCTGAACTTATGGCTCCGTATAAAAAGCTGCCTCATAGCTTGAAATAAAGAATGATCAAATGCACGGCACAATTCTGCTAAAGCAAGCAGAGCATTTATTTTGGAAAACACAGCATTCACAAAGTGCCTGCATTCAAATGTTCCGTATGTTTTATGCATTACCCTGTTTTGTGTGGAATTAAAATTTTTGGTGTTTAATAATTCTTCAGAATGTTATTCTTCTTCACAGCCTGTAATGGTGTCAGGAGTGCATCACAAATTAAACGCAGACCTCTGGAGACCAGAGTCCTTTAGGAAGGAATTTGGCCAACAGGAAGTAGATCTGGTTAACTGCAGGACCAATGAAATCATCACTGGAGCTACCGTAGGGGATTTCTGGGATGGATTTGAAGATATTTCAAGTAAGTAGTGTGAACTTTTGTTCCACCAGGTAAAATATACAGCAGCAATAATTTTGCCCTTGCACAGATTTGTCATCCTTAAGCAGTGTAAAAGATGTTCCAGGCTTTTTCTTCATCCTGGGCAGTGTGCCTGCAATGTATTCTCGCCACATATGCTTGCGGGATGGCGGGCTGGATAGAAGCTGTCAGCCCCAAGGAGGGCTCTCCTTCAGTAGAGAGTGTTTGGCTGCCTTAAGCCTTTTGGGAAGTGTTCTGAGAAAGTTTGGGATCTTCCTAGCAAGTAGGTTCACCTGTCAGCTTTTTTGCCCAGTTGAGTGAACCATAAAAGAGCATGTGTAGGGTTGGTGCTGTCGTGGTTTAACCCGGCTGGCAACTCAGCACCACGCAGCCGCTCGCTC